AAACAAGCAAGCAATAAAAAGTTTGTCAGCATCAGGGAGGTGGCAGTCTAGTTACCTGCAGAAAGAGTTCATTACCACTTTATCTCTTCTCCCACAGCATGTCCTCCCTCTTCTAAAAACATGCCAGAAAACTCAAACACACTTGCTCTGTGGGATTAATTAAAGGCTGAGGCCAGAACCAAGGGGGCTGTCTTACCTGGGGTTCTGGGATTGAAGGAACAGCCTGTGGAAGCTGGTCCAGCATTACCATCCTGACCACACTTACATCTTTAGACCACAAGTGGGTAGTATGTTCTTTAAAAAAAAAAAAAAAATATATATATATATATATATATATATTAATTTTTTATTTGTTCTAATTATACATGACTGTAGGATGCATTTTGACATAAATGGAATATAACTTATCATTCTTCTGGTTGTGCATGGTATAGAATTATGCCTCGTGTCAGATATGCATGTAGGGTAATAATGTCTGATTCATTCTACTAGTATATTAGTTCTTCATTGATCTCTTCATGGGGATTCTTTTTGCCTTGTTTTCTTTTCTTTTAAAGAGAGAATTTTAATATTTATTCTTTAGTTCTCGGCGGACACAACATCTTTGTTTGTATGTGGTGCTGAGGATCAAACCCAGGCCTCACGCATGCCAGGCGAGCGTGCTACCGCTTGAGCCACATCCCCAGCCCTTGCCTTATTTTCTTTCTTTCTTTTTTTTTTTTTTTTTTTGGTTCAAGGTATTGAACTCAGGGGCACTCGACCACTGAGCCACATCCTCAGCCCTATTTTGTATTTTTTACTTAGAGACAGGGTCTCACTGAATTGCTTAGAGCCTCACCATTGCTGAGGCTGACTTTGAACTCAAAATCTTCTTGTCTCAGCCTCCCCTGCCACTGGAATTACAGGTGTGCGCCACTGCACCCAGCTTTGTCTTGTTTTCTATTATTATTTTAGGAATGTAGAACTTTATGATGTTGCAGTATCTGCAAATTTCCACTGTTAATACTTTTTTTTTTTAAGAGAGAGAGAAAATTTTTTTTAATATTTATTTTTTACTTTTCGGCAGACACAACATCTTTGTTTGTATGTGGTGCTGAGGATCAAACCTGGACCGCATGCATGCCAGGGGAGCGCGCTACCGCTTGAGCCACATCCCCAGCCCTGTTAATACTTTTTTCATGACTTTTTTTTTTTTTCATGGTATTGGGGGGATTGAATTCAGGGCCTTGTACCTGGTAGGCAAGCACTGCCACTGAGGTACATCTCCAGCTCTTTTACTTTCATTTGGGGATAGGGTCTTGCTAGGTTGCCTAAGTTGTCTTGCTAAATTAGCCTCTAGCTTGCAATCCTTCTTAATCCTCCTGAGTAGCTGAGATTACAGGTGCATGTCATCATGCCTGGCTTATTGATACTTAAATATTAAATAAAGCACCTTTTTTTCCTTTGAAAGTAAAGACCAGTAGTGAACTTGATTTTTGTAAGTCACTACTCTTTCCTTGCCTTTTCACTACTTTCTCTCCACATGCTAGATCGTCTTCTGTTCTCTTTTTCCCAAATGATTCTCTTTTTGTTGATTCTACTATGAAATTTTTTCCTCTGGGTATTTAGGTCATTCCAATTTCCCCACCATTATTGATAATAATATAAACTTTATAAAGATCTATATTCTATGCTGGGGATATAATTCAGTGGTAGAGTGCCTGGGTTTGATTGCCAGCACCACACATGCAAAACAGTATTCTTTGGAGTTTTATCTTTGGAATATCTTTCTCAGAAATGAATTACTGCTTTGAAGGAAATGAACATTTTCTAGTTTTTATTGCATGCATAGTTTGAGACTTTTCCTAAAACAACAGAACAATGTACAATATATATTTTTTTAAATATTTGTTTTTTAGTTGTAGGTGGACAAAGTGTCTTTATTTTACTTATGTGATGCTGAGGATCAAACCCGGTGCCTCATGCATGGTAGGCAAGTGCTCTACCTCTGAGCTACAACCCCAGCCCAATTTACCATATCTTTAGCAACTTCTTTTTAAAATTTTTTTAGTTATAGATGGACACAAATCTTTATTTTATTTATTTTTATGTGGTGCTGAGGATTGAACCCTGGTCCCACCCGTGCAAGGCCAGTGCTCTACCACTGAGCCACAATCCCAGCCCTCATTGCTGTTTTTTAATATAGTTTTAAATCTGATAGGATAAGGCTCCTATTTTTACCTCAAAATACATGTTTGAATAAAAAAGAAATAACATTTATTTGGTCTGTTGTTGTTGTTGTTGTTGTTGTTGTTGTTTGGTACTGGAGATTGAACACAGGTGCACTTAATCACTGAGCCATATCTCCAGCCCTTTTTATTTTTTATTTTGAGACAGATTCTCACTAATTTGTTAGGGCCTTGCTAAATTGCTGAGACTGGCTTTGAACTTACGATCTCCTGCCTCAGTTTTCCAAGCCCCTGGGATTACAGGTGTGTACTGCACCTGGCAAGTATTGTTTTTTTCTTAAATATAAATCTTATTATCCTGAGTTAAGTTGCTTAACAAATTTTCCATATTTTGTTATTTWAAAAAAATTTTTTTATTAGTTGTAGTTGGACACACTACCTTCATTTTATTTAATTATTTATTTATTTTTATGGGAGTGCTGAGGATCGAACCCAGTGCCTCATACATGCCAGGCACTCTACTGCTGAGCCACAACCTGTATTTTGTTATTTTTTATAAATTGTCTTTCTCTTTTCATTCATTTCCATATGAATGAACCTAATGAATAAGAATTCAGTAGATTTTTTTTCCACTCTGTTTGTAGCCTTAAAGATTTTCTCAGTTGATTATTTGCTGTATTTTGTTGATTTCAGAATTATAATCATGCTATCCATAGAGATGCTATTTTTATTTTTATTTTTATTTTTTCGTGTATTAAGCTATTTTCCTCTTAGTATTGGTTTCCATCCTGGTAGCTTGTAGGAGAGACCTGGAAAGGCTGTTTGGTGTACGGTGTAAAAAGAACTGACTCTAGTGCTTCTCTCAGTATAATCTTGGTACTTTGTTGTTTTTTGTTTTCTCATTTCTTGTATTATTGGAGATTGAATCCAGGCCTCATGCATGAGCACTGTACCACTGAGCTATACTCCCTTTCAACTCTTTTAAAATTTTGTTTTGAGACAGTGTCTCGCTATAAGTTGCCCACACTGGCCTTGGACTTGTTATTCTCCTGCTTTAGCTTCTTAAATAGCTGGGATTACAGCAGTGCACCACCAACCTCAGCTGGTGTTTTTTAATTTTATGATAAATTAGTTAAGAGAAATATGTAATCATCATACCAAATCAACTTTTTACAACAAACACTTGGTTTGAGTCAAAAAAACCATCACTTTCTCCTTGTAGCATTTCTAAATTTTATCTACTTCTGAATCATATTTTAATGAGAAACATTTTTTAACCAAAAGTGTTCTTCAGTTTCTGATTGTAGTAGTTGTACCCGATGCCTTCCATGGTGGCCCTCAGTGCTCAGTGTTACTCCATAGCACACCACACAGGTGCACCCCTTGAGTCTGATGAGGGCTCCCTTGTGGCCTTGCCTTCACCAAGAATCACTGATTTCTAGTAACACAAAATAGCCTCCCATGACAATACTGAAAGGCTGCTCCCAGGTTTCAGTGCCAGTGGAAGGAGCTAAGTTGCTTAATAAAATTTCAATATTTCGTTACTTTTATACAAAATATTTTTCTCTTTTTTTGGGTTTCATATGAATGATCCTAATAGATAAGAATTCAATTGATTTTCCCCTCACCCAACTTATAGCCCTTCTCCCATACTGGGGATTGAACCCAGGGATGCTTTAGCACTGAGCTATATCCAGGCTTTTTTTATTTTTTGAGACAGAGTCTCACCTAAGTTGCTGAGGCTTGCCTCAAACTTACAGTCCTCCTGCCTCACCCTCCCAAGTCTCTGGGATATTTATTGGTGTGTGCCACACATTCTTTGATTTTTATGTGGTTGGTTAGCTAAAAGCCCATCTACTTGATTGCAAGTCATTGATCAGGCTTTGTCTGAGCAATGGGACCTCATTATTTTCCTACTTACCTTAGAACAAACTGAGAAATTTAAAACCTGAAACATTGTGTAAGCTCATTTCTAAGATAATTAAGTAGAATAATAGCTACAATATATAGTTGATTAATTGGGAGCTGGAGATGAAACAGAATGCTAGTGACTTGAAGCACACAGAGGCATATAGAACTGTTCCTATTCTTAGAAAGAAATCTGAGACACAAACTTTTAAGTGGAACAAAATGACCACAGAAGTGATTTAAGACTAAAACCAAGATGTTTATAATCATTGGTGATAATTCCTGAATAATCATAATGGAACGCTTGTTATGCATGGCTCTATAATTTGTGATTATTGTAGTCTGCACTAGAAATTGCATGTCTTTTTGATTATTGAAATTATTGGGATGAAGAGCACTGTCAATTTTTGTATTAATTTGTATTTCAGGTGGGCCAAAATATCCCAACCTAGAAGCATTATTAAAATTGCATCTAGGAAAAACTTGAGTGGGGAGGAATCATATTGTTACTCTGAGGGAATTGCAGTTTTCTCCTGTTTCTCTTCCATCAGAGTAGTCTCATTCTACTTAAATTCTCCATTCCATACAACCTTTTCAAATTTTTTGTTAACTTAGATTTAATTGCTGGACTGGAGTGGTACCTTGTACATGTGGCTTTGTGCTGCATGGACTTGGGGATTGGCAGCTGTCCCTACTAGACTCCTTGCCAACTTAAGAAAGGTGGTGATTGCCTGTGAGTTGTGAAGTAATACAGAAAGCAGCAGTGCTCCCATCCTTGTGAAGTGCACATGACTAATTCATACTTACACAAGGTTTTTTTTTTTTTTTTCCCCCTCCTTTCCTCACTCTATCTGTTCAAATTGATGGTTCTTTCACACCTGATGATGCTTCTTTCAAATGCCCGTCCTTGGTGTTTCTCCGAAGCTTTGTGCACCGAGGGCGACCTGAGCCTTTGGATCTTCACTTGGGCATGTTCCTACCCACCTTGCTTCACCAGGCCACTGCGGAACAGCAGGAGCGTTTCTTCATGCCTGCCTGGAATTTGGAGATCACTGGCACTTATGCCCAGACAGAGATGGGTCATGGTACAGTGTGTTCAGTCTACCTTCTGGGTGGGGTGGGCTCCTGCCAGCTGGGCAGGTATGGAGTGCCCATCTCCTGTTAGGAATGGCACATCAGCCAACTACGAGCTATTTAAAAGAGCTCCTTCTGCAGAGTCCAGGTTTGGACATAGGTAATGATTTGGTCATGGAAATTAAAGTGATGTTATCATAGTGATTTTCTGATTAATTTTTTATGGTTCCCATTCAAAAGGTCAAGAATGACAAATTAAGCCTTATTTACTAAATGATTTTTCAAGTTCATTCATGTTGTATAGAATCTACACATAGAATTTGAACCCATGTATTTTCTTTGTTACTGTCTGATTACTGCTGATACCCTAATGCACCTTTGCAGATCCCAGAAGTACATATTTAATTGTATGTATGTTCTTTGGCTTGCATGAGGGAAATGAGTATCTTAGTATAATGAAAATTTGCAACATTTTATGCCTTGAAGTTATTTATATTTTGATTTAGTAAATCCAGAAAAGTTCTGAAGGTGGCTTGACCAGAAAAATTAAAAGATAAGCCGTACTTTCAGGCTGTTGGCTTCAGACTTGGTATATAGCACCTTTCTTTATTTTCCACCCTCATCTGCCCTGCTTCATGAACCTAAATGGGGCTGAAGGTAGTAGCTGTTCCTCTTATTTGTTCTGAATTGGTGTCTCTTTTGCCATTTATTTAGTTCTTCCTACTTTTTTTCTGCTCTGAGATTTCAGAAAACCTACTGTATTGCCTCTTAATTCCTTAATTCTGTAGAGTTGCCTTTTACTACTCAGTGCTGAATAGTAGTTTACAGGATTTTATAAGAGGCATAGCAAAGTAATTCAGTTCCTTGTGCATTTGAAAACATTTTGTCTTTATCTGTTCTGTTTAGTATATTTTTGTTTTTTTCTGTTAAAGTTTCTTTGGTGAAAGGAATATAAGTGCCTGGGTTCTTGACTCCCCTGCAGGGGAAGACTGAATTGCTCGTAAACTAGCCATTTCTGTTACTCATCTTGAAAATTTTGAAATATTTTATAGTTTAAGCATTCAGTGAGATCTGGCATTATCCAAGTAGTTTGGTAGAAGGTCCTCAGTATTTGCTTAGTAGAGTTTAATTAGAGTGTCACCAGGGACATTTTTCTATGGTTCTTTTCAAATAATTTTAGCTTTTTTTTTTTTTTTTTTTTTTTTTTGTGGTGCTGGGGATCGAACCCAGGGTCTTGTGCATGTGAGGCAAGCACTCTATCAACTAAGCTATATCCCCAGTCCACAATTTTAGCATATTTGTATTAGACTTTAAAACACAAGTTCCCATCGTATCTTTAGTAAAACATGAAACTAAGAACCCTTCCCCTGTCGTACTTGTGGCCCAGCTAGGATTTTAAAAGTCTCTCTTTAAGGCCTTTTTCTTCAATGAATATACCTTTTTAAGTTCTTATTTTCCATCCTAGCACTCATTCTGAAATAAATTATCAATTTACAAAAAAATTTTAAAAAAACTTTAGCTAAAGTCTGTTCCTGTCACTTATTATCTCATTTTCAGTCATAAGTAGCTCCAGGATGTTGAAATGGTGTGGTAAACACAGTACACATCGTGGAAATTTGCACAATTGAAACTCAGAGATGGGTTTAAAAGGACAGTAAACTTCCCTGGTAGGATCATACATTACAATCTTAGGAAAATACAGTTCCAAGCTTCCTTTGCATTTTCTTTTGGTTGGTCTAAAGAAATGTTACAAATTAACTAAATCAGATGTAAAAATGGAACATGCATGATATATACCTTTTCAGCCTATGGAAAACTGTCTGATAGAATGGGAAATTAATTATCAACCATTTGTACTCATCTACAAATGTAGTGTTGTTAGGGTTTGCTTTTCTCTGAGATACTAGAGCTATGAACTGGGCAGGAAGTTTTACCCTGCACCACTATTTTTACACATGTTTATCCAAAGGAAATGTAATTTTTCCATAGGAACTCATCTTCGAGGCTTGGAAACCACTGCCACGTATGACCCTAAAACCCAAGAGTTCATTCTCAACAGTCCTACGGTGACCTCCATTAAGTGGTGGCCTGGTGGGCGTAAGTGAATTTTTTAGCATTTATTGGATATTTTGAAGATTTGTAATGAGATTATATGTGCAATGTAGACCTTACGTGAGAATATCATTTTGAAATGCAGAAAAAAAAATTTAAGTCTTTAAACTATTCATAACTTCCTTTCGTGTTACATATTATACATCTTAGCACAGAAATGACTATTATGCTATTTTTCTTAGTTTTTCATCAAATGTTCCCACATATTACCATACTTTCCATCATCATCATTTAAAATAACTTAATATTGGGCTGGGGTTGTAGTTCAGCGGTAGAGTACTCACCTAGCTCATGTGAGGCCCTGGGTTCAATCCTCAGCACCACATAAAAATAAATAAATATATATCGTATCTTTACGTAAAACATGAAACTAATGTCCAGCTACAACTAAAAAAAATATTAAAAAATAAATAAAGTAACTTAACATTATCTTACCAAACAGTTGAGTATTTTTAAAATTTTTATTATACATATATATATATATATATATATATATTTTTTTTTTTTTTTTTTTTTTTTAAGTACTGGAAGTTTAACCAAGGGATGCTTTACCATGAAGCCACATCCCCAGTTSTTTTTATTTCTTTAAATTTTGAAACAGGGTCTTGCTAAGTTGCTGAGGTTGGCTTTAAACTTGGGATCCTCCTGCTTCAGCTCCTTAGCTGTTTTTAGTATTTTTGATTCTAAATTATTGTCTTGGGATGTATAGGTCAGATGGCATCAATGGTTGAAGGATTTTATTATTCACATTATTTTTGCTATATGACATTATATTTTGATATGAAGAAAACTAGAATGCAAAAGAATGAATATTATCTCTRGAAGTGCTAGCCAGAGGCCGTCCTGCCCCACAGGAGATTGTACAGTGGTGGGAGGGTTTTTTTTAAATCTCCGCTTCTTGGTGTGGTAGCCACCTACCACATACGGTTTTTGAGCAGTTAAAATAAGGGTAACTAGGGAACTGAAACTTTTATTTAATTAGAATTAATTAATTAATTAATTTCACATTTGTAGTTGTAAATGGACACAATACCCTTTAGTTTATCATGTGGTACTGAGGATTGAACCCAGCATCTCACGTGTGCTAAGCAAGCCCTCTACCACTGAGCTACAAACCCAGAAAAGAAGTAATTTAAATTAACATTATGATGGTTATCCTAAAATTTTCTTTATGTAAATACGTGAGAAATTTTTTTTTAGAGAGAGAATTTTTTAATATTTATTTTTTCGGTGGACACAACATCTTTATTTTATTTTTATGTGGTGCTGAGGATCAAACCCAGTGCCCTACACATGCCAGGTGAGCGTGCTACCGCTTGAGCCATGTCCCCAGCCCCATAAAGCTGTTTTTATTTATGTTTTTTTTTAAAGAGAGAGAGGATTTTTTTTTAATATTTATTTTTTAGTTTTCGGCAGACACAACATCTTTGTTTATATGTGGTGCTGAGGATCGAACCTAGGCCACATGCATGCCAGGCGAGTGCGCTACCGCTTGAGCCACATCCCTAGTCCCCATAAAGCTGTTTTTAAATGAAGAATTGCTTTGCCAAAATTTAATAAATTTTAATAACTGAACTTAAGTGACTTCTTTCTGAAAACTAGTTGGAAGACTGTCTTAAAAAAGGCTGTCTAGGGCTGGGGCTGGGGCTCAGTGGTAGAGTACTTGCCTAGCATGTGTGAGGCACTGAGTTTGATCCTCAGCAGCACATACAAATAAATAAAATAAAGGTCCATCAACAACTAAAAAATATTTTAAAAAATGGGGGCTGTCTAGACAACTTGCTCTGGCTTATGTTAATTTAACACACTGTTGTCCACTCTTCTGTTTGTACCTTTTAAAAATATAAGAGCATCTGCCTGCTCACTGTCTCCTGTTCTCTTTGATATTGCAGTCGGGAAGACTTCAAATCATGCTATAGTTCTTGCCCAACTCTTCACTCAGGGGAAGTGCTATGGATTACATGCCTTCATCGTACCTATTCGTGAAATTGGGACCCACAAGCCCTTGCCAGGTAAGGAATGTTCATTGGATGTCAAGGTGAAAATTAAACTGAGCACTTGCCTTGCAAAAAGGGTAAGGCACAACTAAACAGGAGGCAGGAAGTTGCATTAGGGATTCAAGAATCTCATGTCTTTCTGTCATCTGCTGTAGGTATTACTGTTGGAGACATTGGCCCCAAGTTTGGTTATGAAGAGATGGACAATGGCTACCTAAAGATGGACAACTATCGTATTCCCAGAGAAAATATGCTGATGAAATATGCCCAGGTATATTTAGCTAGAAAACAGGGCCCAGGATGCCCAGCATGGGGGTGTAATGGCTACTGATAACCATTGGTAACCATGGGCTAGAATAACATGTTTTTATAAGGTGATGATGTTTTTATTTTTGATGCTTCTTTTATTGTGGCAGTGAAATCAGGAGCAGTTGACAGGGGTGAAGAACATAACCTAGTTTTTAAACTCTGGTTCTCAAACTTTTACATGCTTTAGAATGATCCGGAGGACTGGTTAAAAAGCAGGCCTTGCCCCCAGAATTTCTGGTTTAGTGAGTCAGTGTAGGCACTGAGGTGTACTATTTCAGACAAGTTTCCTGGTCATTGCTGATGCTGTTGTTCCAGGAACGTCACTTGGAGAACCATTAAACTACCACTGGGCTCACAGAAGGAAGCATCAGTTCCATATTGTTCTTCCAGGTGAAACCTGATGGCACATATGTGAAACCTCTGAGTGACAAGCTGACCTATGGGACCATGGTGTTCGTCAGGTCCTTCCTTGTGGGAGAAGCAGCTCGATCTCTGTCCAAGGCCTGCACCATTGCCATCCGCTACAGCGCTGTGAGGCATCAGTCTGAAATCAAGCCAGGGTGAGGATAGCATCTGAGATGGTGTAGTACTGATATTGAGATATCAGAATTAAATATGACTAGAGAAGATTCATTAGCTGTGAAAAATTAGCTAGGGTGGCTGGGCACAATGGCCCATAGCTATATTCGCAATTACTCAGGAGGCTGAGGCAGGAGGATTGCAAGTTTAAGGCCAGCCTGGGCAACTTAGTAAGACCCTGCATGAGACCTTGGACTCAGTCCCCAGTACAAACAAACAATAACAACAAAAATACAGAGTGGCAGTGTACTAGGCCTTTTTCTTAGTATCTAGACTTCCTTGTTTTGAGAGGAAAGATGAGAATAACCATCTTACTGCTGCCCCCCACCTTAGGGCTGGGTATCTGACCCAAGGTGTCAAGTGTTTTAAGCCAGATTTTACCACTGAACTATATCTTGAGACCGCCTTATTATTTTTTAGCCTTCCAAGTAAATAGAAATGATGTTATTTGAAGTATTATAAAGGATATGTTCAAAACACTGAAATCAGTATGAAAGTAAGTAATGTAACCATTACTGATAATGGTTACAAGTTGTATATAATGGAAGTAGCATTAAACTTGATTCCCTTAAGAATAAAGAAACTGAAGCTGGAGAGTATAGCTCAGTGGTAGAGCACTTGCCCAGCATGTATGAGACCCTGGGTTTGAACCCCAGGGCTGCAGAAAGAGTCCAGTGAGAGCTGGGCGTGGTGGCACATGCCTATAATCTCAGCAGCTCAGGATGCTAAGGCAAGAGAATCATGAATTCAAAGCCAGCCTCAGCAACTCAGTGAGACCCTGTCTCTAAATAAAATACTAAAAAGGGCTGGGGATGTGGCTCAGTGGTCGACTGCCCCTGAGTTCGTTCCTCAGTACAAAAAAAAAAGGCCAATAAGAGCAGACCTTGGGGCTGGGGTTGTGGCACAGTGGTAGAGTGCTTGCCTTGCACATGTGAGGCCCTAGGTTCGATCCTCAGCACCACATAAAAATAAATAACAAAATAAAGATATAAGAAAATTAGAAAAAGAGAGAGAGAGCAGACCTTTATTAATTCTTAACACTTCAGAATATTTATCTCTATGTATTTGGTCTTCTCCAAGATTGTGGTCAAAATAGCTGATTCACCATATGGAATGCTGGACCTTGTTGGCATCCCGTTCCTTTTATGAGGTTATTTAGCTTTGGTTTTGTGTGTTGCCCAAGAAGCGTGGTTTCCTTAGTCATACTGGAAAGACTAGGATGGATGGGACTTTTGCACCTATAAGATTTTGTCCATCTGTGGTGGTACAGAAAAGAAGCTAAGGGCATGGTCTTACAGAACCAAAGAAACTAGATTTAAGTTGAGGATCTGCCACTCATTAGCTGTGTGACTTCTGATTCTTAACCTATTTCTTATGTGTAAAATGAAGATAATGACAGCTATTTTGCCGGGTCTTTATGAGGATAAATAAGTGATTCAAGAGTGCTTAGACCAGAACCTGGCACATGGCATTTTCTGACTAAGCTTTTATTACTTTTTTTCTTTGTCTATGTAATTTAGTGAACCAGAACCACAGATTTTGGATTTTCAAACCCAGCAGTATAAACTCTTTCCACTTCTGGCCACTGCCTATGCCTTCCAGTTTGTAGGCGCATACATGAAGGAAACCTACCATCGGATTAACGAGGGCATCGGCCAGGGAGATCTGAGTGAGCTGCCTGAGGTACATGTTGAGTCTCATTACTAGTGGGTGCCCTTCTGTTTCACATTTTTTTTTTTAAAACAACTGTGTTTGTTTGTTTGTTTGTTTGTTTCTTGGTGCTGAAGATTGAACCCAGGGCCTTGTACATGCAAGGCAAGCACTCTACCAACTGAGCTATATCCCTAGCCTCTGTTTCACATTTGCCTATTGGGAAATGTTCAGAAGAAACTACACAGGGTGTTTTCTGAAAAGAATGACGTATTCTTGGTACTTTAACTGATTGAAAGTGGGTCAGATACAAAGATGATTTTAACTTTTTGGGTTTTGTTTTTAAGTATCATAAGTATTGAACCACAGTGGTCATTTGTCAGTCAAGGGAACATGAAAAGGGGTGACTTTTGCTAAGTCAAATGTTCAGAAGTGAGTGTGAGAGTGTTATTAATTCAGGCCGGTCAGTTGACTGCTGCTTCACTTAATTTGGAGAGCAACTGACGGGTTAGAGAAAGGTGTGTGTTATCTCATTGGAACACAGACACTGAGCACCATAGGTGTTCTTACGGACTGTGCTTGTCCCCCAGCTTCATGCCCTCACTGCTGGGCTTAAAGCTTTCACCACCTGGACGGCAAACGCTGCTATTGAAGAGTGTCGGATGGCTTGTGGTGGTCATGGCTATTCTCATAGCAGTGGTATTCCAAATATTTATGTCACTTTCACCCCAGCCTGTACCTTCGAAGGAGAAAACACTGTCATGATGCTACAGACAGCCAGGTGAGAACTGAATTCACGATGTCTCCTATTGATTTGAGTCCTTTCCATGGGTTCCTGTTGCCATGCTTTCTCACACATGTGCATGTATATTTGTTTGCAGAAGACATAGTTTGGCACCTGTCTTGACTCACTGTTTTTATCTGTGGTCAGTCTAGCAGGTCTGAAACACCTGTCACGTGGTGTAGTCTGTTTCAGGAGTGGGGTTACTAAAAGTACATGTACTGGTGATTTTAGGTTCTTGATGAAAAGCTATGACCATGTGCACTCAGGAGAGCTGGTGTGTGGCATGGTGTCCTACTTGAATGACCTGCCCAGTCAGCGCATCCAGCCACAGCAGGTGGCAGTCTGGCCAACTGTGGTGGATATCAACAGTCCAGACAGCCTGACAGAAGCATACAAGCTTCGTGCAGCCAGGTGAGCTCACCCTTGAAAGCTCAAAGACCCAGCTGTGGGGGCTTCTGGGCAGGGTAGATTAGAGAAGGCATGAGTACTGTGGATCATTTCCTCAGCTCTCCACTTTTCCTTCATTTCCTTAATAGACTAGTGGACATTGCTGCGAAAAATCTTCGAAATGAAATGAGTCACAGGAAAAGCAAGGAGGTAGCATGGAACCTAACTTCTGTTGACCTTGTTCGAGCAAGTGAGGTCAGTAGTAGTTCTCTCCCCTCCCTATGCCCACCCCACTTTTCTTTATTGTCCTGGTTGCTGTGTATTGGGGTCTTCCCCAAGGTCCCCACACACTGTTTTCTTTTTTACCTAGGCACATTGCCACTATGTGGTAGTTAAGCTCTTTTCTGAAAAACTCCTCAAAATTCAAGATAAATCCATCCAAGCTGTTCTAAGGAACCTATGCCTTTTGTATTGTCTGTATGGAATAAGTCAGAAGGCAGGGGATTTCCTTCAGGTAAGAATTCTTTAAGTAGAAAAATAATTATTATCTATTATAGTTTTTTGTATATAAACCTCTGTCCACATACATATTTTTATGTATTTATTTTGGTTTACTTTAGGGGAACATCATGACAGGGTCTCAGATTACCCAAGTGAATCAGCGTATAATGGAGTTGCTCACTATAATTCGCCCCAATGCTGTTGCTTTGGTTGATGCATTTGATTTTAAGGATATGACGCTGGGCTCTGTTCTTGGCCGTTACGATGGGAATGTGTATGAAAACTTGTTTGAGTGGGCCAAGAAATCCCCACTGAACCAAACAGAGGTAAGAAACACATTCTTTCTGCCTTCTGAAGTTCTTCATTTATTTTTTTGTAGGGCTAGAGATGGAACCCAGGATCTCGTGCATGCTAGCAAGGCAAGCACTAGGTCACTGAGACACACTCCCAGCCCACTGAAGTTCTTTTTTTCAGTATGAGGTAGAAAAGGCCTCTGGAAAGCCCAAAAGCACTGTGGCCACTTTATTTGCGCAACAGATTCAGTTTATTGTGGTTTACTCCCACAATAAACAGGGTTTTAATTTCCTTGAATTTTTTTTCCCTTGAATATTTAATAACTAATTGAACACTTTATTTTGAGACAGAATCTTGCTAAATTGCCAAGAACTTACAATCCTTCTGTCTTGGCCTTCCTAGTCCATATCTGCTCAATTTGACTCAAGTTTTTTTTTTTTTTTCTTCCTAATTTGAATCTGAATCCAAATGAAGCCCAGATAACTTCTCATTAAAAGTAGGCTATTTACATGGCAATATGGCAAGGTTGTAACAGTATTTCTGCCCTCTCCTTTCTCTACAGGTCCATGAATCTTACCACAAGCACCTGAAGCCACTGCAGTCCAAGCTCTGAAGTGTGAGAAGGACAAGTTATGGTGGCTCCAGAAAGCAGCTGTGTGCATCTCTTTCTCCTACCCAAGGCACACATCTGTGCAGAATCTTTATCACATTCATATAGCTGTAGAACAAATGATAAATTGGCCCTTTTTCTCTTTTTATAAATGAAGAAAATAATGAACAGATTTCAGAGATTAAATTGAAAAAAGGATGCGTTCTAAGTGCAATTAACACTGAAAGAGACTTCTCAAGCATTCAGAAAAAACTAAAGAAATGGCAGTGTGACTTCCATTTGTAATGCTGCTGATCCCCGTTAGGTCATGACTTTTGATAATTAGAATTTATCTACTAAGTACTTAATTATTTTTTGAATTTTAATTTCTAATCACTGGAATCATGGGCTATTTAAGTGTGTTTAAGCAAAAGTACTTTTTAAGTGGGGCAAAATCCTTCCAAGCTTTCCTGCTAGATGACCTATTGCTCCTACTAGGACTGGCTAAAAAGTAGGACTGAAGAAGTGGGATGGGGAAAGGAATAATAGAAAACCTAATGTGAGTAAATGTGTGCTTGGCACATTTCCTGTGTGCTTCTTTCCTTTGCTGATGTGTTGCTCCCTTCTGAGCCACATTAGCATTTCCAAGAGGCCTCTTTGTCTTACTAGTTAAGAATTCATCACCACTGTAGGGATTTCTAACTATCATTCTAGGACTATGACTCTTTTTTGTCTTCAGATTCTTGGACAGGAATAGATAGCAAAGTTATTTCTATATATGACATTTGGGCATTGCTGGGGCCTCAGTCAGTGTGTTCATCTTCTCCCTCCCTCCCTCCCTCTTGCATTCCTCTGAAAGAGGTACTGAAGAAGGGAGGAAAACATTCCTTAGTAGAGTACATATAGGCAGAATCTGCATGCAGCTGTGGCACTGCTGTAGTTTTGGTGACCTAAATTAACTAGATTTCCTGGGACAATCCAGATTTTGTGTTCTGTCTTCTAGGCATAAGCCATTAAAATACTTGGAGGCTACTAAGTGTTTGGCATTAGAAAAATAAATGAAAATTTCACTTAGGTCACCACTTATACCCAGAAAAACCCTTTGATACAAACCATGTGTTCTGATTTTTGTTTAGAAAATATAATTGAAACGACTAAAGGGTAAATGAAAATTCCATAGATTGTTTCCTATTATCTGGTTTTGTTGTATGTTTCAAGGAGCTTTATGAGTTGCTAAATTGTTCTTCCAGTTGAAATCTAATTTGCACAATCATTCTGTATTTAAAGGTTTAACCTTTTAATGAAATTTTTTTAAAAATCAATGTTAAAAAATATCACTTGATTTTTTTTTTTTCTTTTCTTTTTTCAATACTGGGTATTGAACACAGGGGCTGTCTACACTGAGCTACATTCCCAGCTCTTTTCATTTTTATTTTATTTTTAGGCAGTATCTTGCTAAATTGCTGAGGTTGGCCTCACTTAAAACCTCCTGCCTCAGCCTCCCAAGTAACTGGGATTATAGGCATGGGCACTGTGCCAACTCACTTAACCTTTTTTTTTTTTTTTTAAAGGCTTTTTGTGATCCCTTATTCATGAAAAAGTTTCTAGGACAGTTTCTGATAATAAATTCAATGGAAACAATTTCCTTCTATGAACCTGACATAAAATTTGTCCCACGGGAGCTGGTAATATGAGTGAGACTTTTAGGTTACAACAGAAATACTGTCTATTGACACTGCCTTAATTTTTTCTCTCTGAGAACTGATAATTGTGTTACGATTGAAGAGTTGCACTGTCACTCATTGGCTGTATATTGACAATTCAGATTCTGGAAAATTAAGAAATGAATTATATGACTCCATATTAACCTGTTAAATGTAGAATTGCCAGGCATGTTGCATGCCTGTAATCCCAGCTACTGGGGAGGCTGAGGCAGGAGAATTGCAGGTTCATTTGCCCAAGAAACTTAGCAAGTTCCTGTCTTGCTAAGTTTTTAAAAAATATTTTTTAAAATAATAAAATGAAAAGGGCTGGGGATATAGCTCAGTGGAGGCACTTGCTTAGCATGTGCAAGGCCCTAGGTTCAGTTCCTAGCAAACACAAAAAAGGAGTTAATTTCAGAATTAGTGTTAAAATGCTGTATTCACAGGTGAACATTTATAGGCAGCATTTTATGGTGTCTGAACTGACCCACCTAATCCAGCTACATAGAGCTGGGATCAATCTTAGCAGATTTCAGAGATTGTGGGCCCAATCTTCATTCAGCATCTTGAGTTTTATTTTAAAACTAAATATGACATTTGATACTAGTATTTTTCTTAATATTGGAATGTTTTTGTCTTGAACTTTGTGCAATGTAATCAAAGATTAAAAATGTAGTAAAATCTCTGATTTGTACTATTGAGGAAAAGCATGCCATACAAATATGTTTAACTTATGAAGAAATTTTAAATGTAGGTTTGTAAGGTCCTGGTAACACTAAGAATGAGCAAGAAAGGAACAATGACTGAACAAGTAGCAGATGTAAATGAATATTATTAATGAGATTTTTCTACTAGATAATACTAAACCTTTTTTAAAAATGAAATTTTGACGCTAACTAGATATTTCTTATTTTAAATGGATGGAAATTGAACTTCTTCCTCATTTATTGCCCCAATAGATGAATGCCAAGGTATTTCAATGTTTGGACATTAGTGACCTCCAAGCACAGTTAGTCCTTGCTTTGGCATCACATATACTAAAATTGGAACTACATAAGTTAGTATGGCCCCTATGCAAGGACGACACAAACTTGTGAAGTGTTCCATACTTAAAAAAAAAAAGTTGGTCCCAAGCCTTTGTGGCCTTTAATCTTAAGGACATTTGCTTAATTATGATATTAATTATGTTCACATGATTTCAGGTTCCACATATCTGCAGGCATTTTATAGTTCCTAAAGCTAACATGTTAGGTCTTAATTCTTCATTATAATGCTTTGGAGAAATACAACTCTCCATCATCCTGGAATTCTCTGGGATCAGTAAGTCTTTGGACAATTGCTGCTCAGTTTCTCCCCCCCCCCCTTTTTCTGAGTTCTTCCCATCCATCTTATTAGGAAGGAAGTGAATTAGTTGCTCATGGTCTGTAACACCAGTCAACTTTTATATATGTGGAGGGTATACCTGGAATTACAGATTGTCTTCAAGCAGTAATTATGCTTGGAAATTGAGCCCCAGACCAAGACTTGTTGATTCTTTTTAGATAAGTTTTGATGGTTTTCATGAAATGATGCAGTTGAAAATCAGCTAGCATTCAGTACTTCGTTCTATATGATTAAAACAAATTACTCTAATTAAATTACTTCATTAAATTAAAATAGTGGTGATAGGGTTCTGTCCACACAAAATTTTTCAGTGCCTAGTCATGTGATCTATGATAGATAGTATGAACATAATGAGTTTTGCTTTAGGGTTACAAACCACTTACTGGTTGCAGATCCCAAGATTCAGGATGTTTTGTCTAATTTTTTTTCTAGTGCTAGGGATGGAACCCAGGACCTCACACATGTTGAACAAGTGCTCCACCACTGAACTACTGCATCATCCCTTGTTTTGCCTTAAATTTAAGTGAGCCATTGATCGTCTTGGGACTGTAAGGACAATTAGGAGTAATTTCAAGAATTCTCAGTAAACAAAAAAAAAAAAAAGTTTGGTACAATACTGTTGACTGTTTCATTAGATGATTTCTAGGTAGCACATGTGTGATTAACATAATATTCAGACTGCTGACTCGTTGGTAAACATCTAATTTCCAGTAGCTATGGATTCAACTAAATGACTGGTTTAATCTTGGTTCCTACTTAATCTGCATTTAGCTGGAATTCCTACTCAGCCCTGGCTTGACCATCCTGTGGGGGTGGGAGTGGGAATCATGGGATAGCAATGACGCTCCAGTATTGCTTGATCTGAGAGTAAGCCAAACCACTACTCCTGTTTTGCTTTGTGAAACTGAATAACCCTTAATAAAAAGCACAGACAAAAAGTTTTTGTCTTTTTTGTTGGGTTTCACCCTGGCTGCGCAACTTTGATCAATGAACAGGAAAGTCACAGTCACTTCCCTTCAAGCTTTGGGCGTGGGATAGTACAAAATTTACTTAAGGATTCACCCGCCAACACGTTTCTCAGGTCCCTACCCCGGCACTAGTGAGTCCTCCGCAGAGCGCAGGACAAAGAATGCTCTGCCTCCCAGCGCCGAGAGCGGGCGTGTCCCTCCCCCAAGTGGCGTCCTGGTAGCGCCCCGCAGCGCCTAGCTACGCGCGGAGCCCGGGACGGGCTCGCCGCGGAGCACGCTGGGAAGCGTGACTCTGGGCGCCTCCGTCCTCGGGTGAACGGGCGCGGACTACAACTCCCAGGATGCCACGCGCTGCCTGAAGCTCCTCGGCGACGGCGCGGCCGGGAGCGGGAGGCCTGGCTGCGTCGGGCGGGCCCGACCAGGTCCCCGCGGCCGGGCCTGCGAGCGGACGGCGCGTAATAGGGACCTCAGGGGCTTGGGGGTTGCAGGCTGTGCTCGGGTCGGGACGGGCTGGGCGCGCGGGGGCGATGCTTTGAGCACGCAGTGTCACGGACGAGGGACCTTGAGAAGGGCTCTGGCTTGGGTGGGCTCGGGGCTTAAAAAAATGCCTGACGTGGTCCTGGCCGAGTAGACGGGTTGACGCGACGCTGCTCTGGAGCCCTTGGGCCTTTACARACCTCTCCTAGAAAATTCCCGCCGCCCGGGAAGCTGGGACAGAAGTCTCCCGGTGCCCCTGTTATGAGCAAAACGCGTTTGGACCTGTGGGTCGCTGAAGTTGCCACTGCAAAGAAACTGAAACACAAGCATTCCGAGTGGCCTTTGTCCCAAACCCCTATATATAAACGTGACATTCTAAAACCAGGACAGGCCAACACCCGGGAAACAGACATGACCGCCTCTGACTCCTTCTAATCTGGCGTGGAGGAGCTGGAGGGAGACAGGTAATTCTGAGGAAGACTTCCAGGTACAGCTAAGGTGAGGGGAGATCTTCCTCCATCAGTGAAAATCGAGTCAAGGGGTAACCAGAGAACACAGCCTGCGCTTTGTGCCCAATGCTGTCTAGAAAGTAATCTTGAATGTTGTCTGGGAAGGGAGTGGCCACCTTTCCAGACACCCACCTTTCTGAAGTGGGTCCCTGTTATTTTC